TCTCGTCTTGCTTCTGCAGTGGACCTGGAGTGTCTCTTTGGGCAGGTCACTTTTTCTTTGAGGACCTGTTTCCCCGGTAGTAAAATGACAGCATCGAACTAGATCTGTGATTCTCAACCACGGGTGGGGAGTGGAGGGGAGCAATTTGCTTTCCACCCACAACTCCCACTGTACAACAGAATATTTTCATACTCTGTGGACGGCCAGCATCAGCGTCACCTGGAAGCTTGTTAACAATGCAGAATCTTGCAGCGCCTGGGTGGTTCAGTCTTTTAAACGGTGGATTCTGGATTTCCGTGCAGGTCATGATCTCAGGGTTCTGAGATTGAGTCCCGCCTGGAGCTCCCAGTTCAACAAGGACTCTGCTTCTCTCCCTCTCCTTCTGCCCCCTCCCCCCCCCCAAAAAAAAGATGCAGAATCTTGGGCCCCACCTCAGACCTAGTGAATCAGAAGCTGCATGTGAACAACACCCCCAGTGTAAAGTTTGAGAAACGCAGGTCTAATACGCCCCCAAGGACATCGCTTGGAGTGCTGGAGAGTTAATCCGGATGGCTTCAGGAATTCCCTGGGTGTCTCTAATACGCCCTCTACCGGGTGAAGACAGCCAGACTGTTGGGTTCCTGAGATGCTTTTCCAAACCCACACTGCTAGGACGCTGAGCCGTCGAGCTCACCAGAATTAATGGAAAGTGAAGGCTGCTTAGGATGTGCAGTCCACGGGGAGGTGTCGTGAGGTTGCCGTCGGGGGTCATTCCAGAAGCAAAAGTCAAGGCTGTGGGCCGACGGACGCGGGCACCCAGAGCGGCGGGCGGCTCAGCGGGCCCCTTCCTGCACTTCCCCAGCCGCCCGCGGTGGGGCAGGATCGGGCCGGAGGGGGGCAGGATCGGGCCGGAGGAGAAGCGAGTGTCTGCGAGCCAGAGCGCTGCCCCAGGCTGCGGTTCCCAGGCTGCCGGCTCCTCCGTCACTTTCCCATTCCTGATTTCACTCACCAACCCTCCAGGGCCGGTACTCCCACCTCCCAGGAGAGGAGGGTGGCGGCTCAGAGAGGTTGTCCAAAGGGTGAGCCCACGTGGCCTGATTTCCCTACTTTCTCCCTGGCCCTCCAGGATCATCCCGCTGGGGGCGTCAGATCTGAGGGGTCAGTGGTGGCCTTGGGCTCCTGGGGTGGGGGGTAGGGGGCGGGCCAGCCGAGCAGCATTGCTGCCAATGCGGGCCAGTGAGCAAACATCAGAGCTCCACCAAAGGCCCCCGCTAAGAATGCAGGTCAGCAGGAGGAGATCCAAGGGAGGAGGGGTGGCCCCAGCCCTGCCCAGACAGGCCCAGCCGGCCCCACAGCTGCCCTCCTGTCCCTGGGGGCAGCGATGGGCTGCAGGAGGAAGGGGCTCCCCAGGGTCCTGGGGTCTAACTCCCACTGAACCAAGAAGACAAAAGAGGCGCCCACAGAGTGGGGCCGGCAAGAGGTGGGGGAAACATAGGCCTGCCCTCTTTCTCCTGGACTTCTAAATCCAGGAGCAAGAGAAAGCAAAGAGTTCCTCCCCTAAAAACCAGTCGGCTTCCATCTGTAACCCCCATCACAAAGTGACCTTCAACTCTGTGACTGCAGATGCTCCCAAACAGGTGATGGGATGAGCCAGTGTGGGTACCAGAGTTGGCTCCAGGAAACTGGGTCAGGGGTGGAGTGTGGGAAACAGGAATCCCACTAGGGAAGATAACTGTGGCCAAAATGAAGGCGGGGAGGGTGAACAAACACAAAGTCCAGCCTGCCCCTTTGAACCCCGAACCTTCTCAGCTGTCAACCTTCCTAGCTTTGGGCCTCTGGACTCGTGAGGGTTTTTTGTTTTGTTTTGTTTTTGTTTTTTAATCATTTCACCTGAATTGGGCACCGGCTGCATCACAGGCACTGGGCAGCCCAGGAGAGTGTGTATGGATGGGCGTTTCTGCATATCCCAGGCCGCCCAGTGGGGCGGGTGAGGGTGCACTGGTGCGCACTGTGTTTGTGTAACTGTGGCGGGCCCTCTAGCTGGGAGTTGCAGTAGGATCCTTCCCTCAGACTTTCCAGCTGGGAGGGAGCCCATCAGATAGCCTGGCTGCCTTTCATCGCCTTGTCCCTGATAGGGATCATTCTGGGTGAAGAAATCGCTGTCAGTCACCCCCGCCTCGCTCACAGCCAGAGGGACCGATCACACCCCCATGGGGCGGGGTGACCGAGCTGGGAGGCTGGCTCTCCCTGGCAAGGCAGGGAACTGGCGTTCTTGGCAGGGGAGGGGAAAGAAGGGGCTTATATGTGGAGGAGGAAGGAAATATCTAGAACCTTCTCAACCCCAGGGAGGGACAGTCAGCCCAGCTATCAACCCTGAGGGAGCTCCTCCCCATTCCCCACATCAGCCACCTCCTGGGGAAGGATCTGACCCTTCCATCAGCTGGGCTCTGCCCCAAATAAAGGGAGGAGAGGCTGCAGGCCAGGGTGCTGGATCAAAGGAAGTGTCCACCCCACCCTGCAGCCGGCCTGGTCCTCACTGCTGAGGGACACTGAGTCAAAAAGGAAACCAGAGCTGGAAGACAAATGAAGCAATGATGTACTTGATGACTTTATTACGGCATAAAAAACACAGGCTGTTTCTTCCTCCTCCTCCCCCCCAAAGTGGGTTCACAGCAGTTAAAGGAAAAAAAAAAAAAAAAAAAAATCCTACATTTCTCCTCTAGGGGGCTGCCTAGAAGGGGGTAGACAGCCAAGCAACCTAGATCTATAAACGAGGGGAGCAGAAGAAAACCCATCCAAAGCCCTCACCCGCACCCTTAGAACTCAAGGCCTCCGGAGGGGAACATCAGTGTTCCCCCGCCACCCCAACACCCATTCGGGAGTTCCCCTTACAATGGTCACTGGGGAAGGCTGTCCTGGTGGCACAGGGAGGGGGTGGCTGGTTTCGATGGGTGGAGGAGAAAGGCATCCCACACCCACAGTGCCCTCCCTCTCTCCCCCTTTCTCTGCCTGGCCAGGCAACCCGCAGGCTCTGTGAGCTCTCTCCTGCCCCCAACCCTCTCAGCAAGGAAAGGGACCTCTGGTTGGGGTGGCAAGAGGTAGGGGGAAGAGGGAGCAAAAAGAAAGAACGTTACTTCTTAAACTACCCCAGGCCCATGAGTCTCTCAGGGAGAGTCACCCTGTCCCTTTTAAGAAGGGCTCCCTTCTATGCAAACGCATATTCCTATCCAGACCCCAGACCCATTTCCCATTTAGCTCCCAGTCCTGGGACTGGACTTCAGCATCCCCAAGAGAGGAAGAGACGCTGTACGCCTAAGACCTGGGGCTTTGGACAGGGTGAACAAGGTGGGGTCTCTCTAGCTGGAGACCCCAGGCTCAGTAGAGAAACACACACACAACACACACACACACGTACAAACAACATGCACACACACATGCCCTAATATTAAATAAAATACCTTTTGCTTATAACTTAAAAATCAATACACAACTAATCTTTGCATAGGGCTCTGGGTGGAGAAAGGGGACAAGGGGTCCAGGGAGGTCAGAGGGAATCTTAGGGCCTCTACCTCTAGCTTGGGAAAGGGTACTAGTTCCAGACCCTTACCCCCTATCAGCTTCCTTCCCTCTTCCCTTCCCTGGCTCCATCCCTGCCAGGCTCTCCCCTCCCCAGGCCCCACTCCAAGATCACAATCGGGATGGATCTCTAGCATCTAAAGAAGGGGACAGGGACAGCTTCTTGGACATCACCTCAGAAGGCAGACCGCTTCCAATGGGAGAACACCTCCTTCATATGGAAGGGGAGTCCCCCTGCCCAGAATTGAGATGGGGAGAAGGGAGCCTCCTAATGCTCTACAGGAGGGGCAAGGCTTGCAGGCAGCAGAGAAAGGGGATGGGAAAGAAAAGAAAGAGTAGGCCTTCACTTCCCAGTGAGTAGAAGATGGCTGGACATCCACCCTGAGTGGGGACCACTGGAGGTTCCTCTGCTGGGACACCCCACCTACTCCCCAGGCAACCCAGGTAACCCTCTTCCTTCCATCCCTAAGGAGAAGGCAAATGATGGGGGGAGGGGTGGGAACAGGGAGCCAGGATGAGGCACTACATCGATTCTAGGGTGGGGGCTGGGGCTTCTGGTTGCCTTAAAACCTAGATCAGGTAACAGATGGGGAATGTGAACTACACTGAACTTTATTTTTCATGAAAGCCATGAGTTAAGGACTGAATCCGAGTTAGAGGCATAAGGGGTTAGTTCCTTCCATTGCCCTACCCAATCCCTTCCTCTCATTTTAGAAGGGGACTTTTTGCCCTTCCCCTCCTGGTCTACTGCTCTGGCTGGGAAGCTGTCCCGGATTCTGGCCTCTTCCCCTCTTCCTTCACGGCTCCATCAAAATGGGTTGGGAAAGGTTAATCAGGAGGCACATCAAAGGAGTTATTTCTAGGGCAACAACCCTCCCAACCAGATAGAGACCCCTCCTTAGAGGGTACCCCTGTCTCCCCTACCCCACCTGAGCGCTCCCTCGGGAAACATAGGGACAGAAGCACTATATGGGGGATGAAAGGGACCTGGTCCGCAGGGCGGGTCCGGAGGCGCTTTTAAGTCCCGGTTCCCAGGCACTAAGGACGTGTCCAGACAGCTACCCCCAGCGCCCGCGGCGGCCCCACTCCTCTCTGCTCTGGCCCCACTCCTCTCTGCTCTGGGGACGCGCCGTCTCTTCCAGCAGGTCCCCTCCGCCCTGCAGCCGCGGTAGGGGTACCCCACCCCAACCCCCCAGCCCAGGCACTGGAGCGAAGTAGTGGGGAAGGGGAGGACAGAGCAGCATGCGCAGCCCCTCCCAGCCCAGCCAGTCAAACACGTCTCGTCCAGCCCCAGAGACTAAAAAACCCCCTATCGCCCCGTCCCCCTGACCCCGCACCACTTTTCCTCCCCCTTAATAAATAACCACCTGATCCTCTGACTCAAGTCACCCCCCAAGGGCATCAGGCCGGGGCGGGGGGAGTGGAGAGCCCCCCCCCCCAGCTCCTCTGATGCCCCCAGGGGAGACCAGCGTGGGGGGCGGTACCAGAGCAGCTCAGTTGGAGGGAGCCGCGCCGCCCTCCGCCTCCCGCTTGCCTTTGCCCCCGGGGGGCTCCACCGCTCCGCTGGCCTTGCTCTCGCCCGTGGCCGCCCCGGCAGCCTCCTCTTTGGCGCCCTCGTGGGTTTTCATGTGTTTGGCCAGGTGGTCGCTGCGCATGAAGACGCGGCTGCAGACCGCACAGGGGAACTTCTTGGTGCCCGTGTGGGTCTGGAGGTGGCGCTGCAGCTCGTCGGAGCGCGTGAAGCGCTTGCCGCAGAAGAGCCAGTTGCACACGAAGGGACGGTCGCCGCTGTGCCAGCGCAGGTGCGCCTTCAGGTGCGACGTCTTGGCGTAGGCTTTCCCACAACCTGGAATGTGGCAATTGTGCAAATGCTTCTTCTTGCCCCCGTCGGGCCCGCACGGAGCCCCCAGTCGCTCCGCCTCCAGGCAGTTGGGGCAGCGGCACACGGTCTGGCCCGAGCTGCGGGGCACTGACCGTCGGGAGCCTTTGGGCCGGGCTGCTCCGTCCAGACTGGAATCCAGACCCTGGGACTCCGGGGCGGCCGCTTCCAAGGCCTTAGCCCCGTCGGGCGGCCCCAGGAGGTGCTGCCCTCCGGCGGCGGGGAGGAGGTGGTGCGGGTGTGGGTGGGGCGGCGGGGCACAAAGCTGGTGGTCTCCGACGTAGCCCCCCAAGCCAGCCTGAAGCGCCCCGGGGTGGCCAGGCGAGGTCAGCGCGCCCTGAGTGTGGGGGAGGTCCATCCAGCTGGTGCCCGGATGAAGGTCCCACCACGAGCCATCCTCCGTGCCTGGGTGAGTCGGCCGGAACCATGACTCATAATGGTGTGACATGTCCGGCTGTAGGAGCTTGGAAAAGGGTCCCGGGGCCAAGGGACTGTCGCTTTCCAGGTCCTCGCAGGTTACCCGAGAGGAGGCCCCCGGCAGCTCATAGCCCTGTGAGAAATCCACCTCTGGGCCCAGCGGGAGGCTCTGCAGCTCTCCAGGCTGCAGCGGGGAGGGGTAGTCCCCAGCCTCCGGGCTCGTGTGGCCCTGGTATGTTTGCAGAGGCTGCAGGTCGAGGCGCGGCGGGGAGGCGTGAGGCGCGTCCGTGTGCTGGCTGCCCAGAGAGCCGCAGACAGCGGTTAGCATTGCCGGGATCCGGGGTGGGGTGGGGAACAGGGACGGTCAGGGGCACCTCAAGTGGGACCTAAAGGAGGCAAAGAAGAGGTGACATGAGGAAAGTAACCAACTCACTTTTAGTCCTGACCCAGATCCCCCCCCTGCAAAGTGCTCCTCTCTGTAGCTGCCTGGTGGGTGAAAAGAGGGACACACCTCCGAGTGGGGACTAAAGACCAGTAAACAGAATTGGGGAGTGCTAGGAAGGCTGGAGGGTATGAGGTTCTCAGCCAAGGGGGTAAGTCGACCTCGCTGATGCTGATCCCTCCTACAGGACCTAGCTCATTCCGAGAGCTGGTAAGTCAGAAACACCTACAGTAAAATGCTAGGACCATCCGGACCCCAGGTTCCCAGGCCAGCGCAAAGAGCCGGTGGCATTTACCCCCTGCAGACCGGCCGCCACCCCCAATGGAGGGCCTAGACCCATCTCTGCTTCCCTAGTCTAACTCAGGACACAGATGAGGAGAGGGTGGGGGTCTGTTTCTGAAACTCAGAGCTTGAGGTGACCTGACTTTCCATGCCCAGCCCAGGTTTTCAGATACTGGGGGAGACCACATTCTGTCCCTGAGGCATGTTCGGTGAGGAAGAGCATTTCACTGTTGTGTACCATTCGCCTCAGCTCTGCCTGGCTGGGTTGCCAGCCACCCTCCACCCAAACCCACTTCCATGACTGGCCCCACCTCTTCCCCTCGTGCAGGGACTTCACCCCCCCCCCGGGGGGCAGCCACAGTGCTAGCTCCGAGGGGACATCTCCCCACCAGAGAAAGGTAAGCCTCTTCCTCTCCTGTGCTGACCAACACAGGCTCCAGCCAGCTGTCTGCTGCTATCCACGCCCTTTTCCAATCTAGGGGAGACTGAGATGTGAAGCTGGGAGGGGTCAGCTTCCCCCAGAAGGGGGCGAGCCAGAGAAGAGCTGACTAACCAGCTCAGGGAGGTAAAACTGTCACCCCGTTAAGGGATGCAGAGTCACAGTGGGGACAGCGAAGAACAACAAGAAAAACCAGAATCACAGAAATTACGAATTACCCCAAGAGATTATAGAGGGGGGTGCATTCTAGACCTGGGTCATTTTTAGGAGTTCTGCAGATGGCTCCCATATGCAGCTAAGTGTTGAGAACCATTGCCTCAGGCCAACCCTCTTATTTTAAAAAAGAGGAAACCCAGGCAGTATTTGGAGAAATGACTTGAACAGACTTTCATTTACTTGTTCAATCAACCACTATGCACTGTATGTACCTCTGTGAACCAGGTGTCTGGACTCCCCGCCTGTTATCCTTTCCCTAAAGGGTTGGCAACCTAAAGACATCCACCCCGTTCTTAACCACGCCATCTGTGACTCGAAGGTCCTCTTCCTCCCACCACCTCTCCCGAACACCTGGGAACCCTTCAGGTGTGGAGTTTGGTCGCCCAGCCTTCTCTGATGGTGGGAGAGGAGGTGCGGTGGTTTAGGTCAGGGACTTCTTCCCACAGCAGGGCTGACCCTGCTACCTGTGGCTTCTGTGACCAAAGAGGTGGCCCTGGTAGTCTGGGAGAGGGTGAGAGAGGGGAACTGGGGCGTCTACTCAGCCTCTAGCTGCCTTACCACAAGAAAGGAACAGGGTGAAGCAGCAGGAAAAGAGCCTCGGGCCCAGGTGGGGCAGCCCAGAAGGGGCTGGGACCCTAATAGCTTTCGGCGTCTGGGAACTGCCCCAGGGATTAGGGGGTGGGGAGGTGAACGACCCAGGCTCCAGAGTGGCCTCTCTCGACGCAGAGCCAGGGAGTCCAGCCCTGGGATGCAATGGCCAGCCTGCAAAGTTTCGGGAAGGGAGACAGCAGAGCGCGCACTCTCGGCTTCCCGCTCCCCAGTGCAGGAAGCCGGGTAGAGACACCCTTCTTCCCCCTTCCGCCGTCTCCGTCTCCCGATCACCGGCGCTCAGGTGGTCAGGACTTCCGCACTCCCAGTCCTCAAGGTTCCAGTCCTCCGGTTGTCCCAGTCGCTCCAGTTTCCCCGGTTTTCAGCCTCCTCGGTCCCTCGTCTCGCCCTTCCGCCCAGCTGTCGCTCGGCAGGGACTCTAAGCCCCTCGGATTCTTTAGGACCACCTCCCCCAAGGCCACCGGAGGCTGCGGCGAGTTCGGGGACGTCTTTCTGGGATGATCCCCGGAGCGCGCACCCCTCGCCGCCCCGACCCTGGCTCCTACCTCGAGGCTGCGCTCGGGCTCCGGGCACGGCAGGCTGGCGCGCTACCGACGGGCGCTCATGGGCCCTGCGCGCCGGCAGGCTCTCCAGCGGCAAGGCGCAGGAGCCGAAGACGAGCGGGGGCCGCGACCAGACCCGGCAGCGGGCGGCGGAGGAGGGGCGGAGGGCCGGCGGGAGGGTGGAGGGCGGGCGGGAGCCAGGGAGCGAGCGAGCGAGCGAGCCCAGCTCCGCCCGTGACTCACCCGCGCTCTCTGCCTTCATCCTCTGCCCCGCGCTCCTTTTTCCCCGAGTCCGCGGCCCCGCCCACCTCACCTGCCGCCGCCTTTAACCCTTGCGGGCTCGGCCGGACGGGAGGCCCGCGCGGCCGGGCTGGAGAAGAGGGGGCGGGCTCGCTAACTAGGTCGCCTCCCGCCCCTCCCTGGCTCCTCCCCGGCCACTCAGTTCCTCGGGCGGGGGTCCTGGGCGGAGCGTTTCCCAGGCTCCGAGACCCGCCCCTCCGGTGCCAAACTGCCCCGGAGCAGGCTGGGTCTGGCGGGGGACGCGGGACTCAGACCCTGGGGGCCTGGAGAAGGGGGCGGGTCCTCGGGGCGATTAGGAGCGTCCCTCGGGCGCCGCTTGCTTCCTCCGCGCTCGACCCACTCGCCCGGCGGGGCGGCGCTGGCCGGGGTACTGAGAGAAAAAGGAAACAGGGCTGGGCGCCAAGGATGTGTCCGGTCCACCCCAGGCCTAGGCCGTGAGAAATTTGGGCTGCCGCCCTCCTTCATCTCATTACCCCCGCCGCTTCTCTCCACCACCACCACCCCCTGGCCTTTTGGCCCCGGCTTTCTTCCTCTCCCTCTCCGGCCACTCGCCGTTTTTGTGTGGCCTCCTCTCCTCTGCCCATTCCCCTGTTCCCCCACTTGCCCTTATTTCCCGCTGCCTGCCCCTGTTCGTCTCCAAGGCCCCCCTCAGCTCTCACTCCCCATTTCCCCTTAAGCAGCAGCCCCAGCGCGTCCTAAGTCCCATCTCTCAAATACGCGACCCCCCGCATTCCGGGAGCTGCTCAGCCTCCGTATGCCCTCCACCTTTGCCCCCCTGCGCGCCCGGCTCTGAAAGTTGGGGAGGCGCCCTAATGGCCCTGGGAAGGGACACTTCTGGAAAGAATTGATCGACCCCTTGCCACGATTCTCACCTGAATGTTTAAACCCAAGTTTCCTAAGTTTGGGAAAGAGTCTGGGATTTCCTTTAAGGAAAACAAATGCACATACACAGTGCACCATTCTGGCAAAAATTTCAGGGCGTTCACGGTCCCCACCGAAAAACTTCTCTCCAGGTCCCATTTGGTCGAGATATGGAGCGAGCGCCGGTGATTAGAGGTGTTCCTCCTCCTCCTCGCCCCGCTGGCCTGTGAACCCCGGTAGTCCGCTGTTCCCTTCCTTATCCGTGCCTCCTCCACCCACTGCGCGGACTTCCCGAAACGACTCCTTTCTTGCAGGGGAATTCTGATCAATTTCCATATTGTTTTTTCTTTGCGCTGTTTTGTTTTCCCTACGCGCTTTGCCATCGGCTTTTTAAATTTCGTTTTTTGTCTTGACAGTCTATCAGGCACAGCAGGACCAGAATTTAGGATGATTCAATCTCGCCTCTACAGCCTCTGTTCCACCACCATTGCTTGACCCTGTTCGATTTTCCATTGGGGACATACTCAAAGTGCCACTACAGAACAACTAAACTGATCCACAGCCCCTTGAAAATCAGCCTTTGCCTGTGTGATTTCCGCCCCCCCCCCAAACACACACGGTCTTATATCCAGAGTCAATGTCTGATTCGTGGGTTCATCTCCCTCTTTTCTAAGATTCCATTTCCTCATCTGGGCCACCTGAGTTCAAGTTGGGAGACTCTTCTGGGGCTTAAAGGAATTGATGTACTGAAAATACTTAGCCCCTGGTTCCCCTGGTAAGCTCACAGCAAAGGGAAGATGTTGTTATAATTATTAAATAAGTGGGTTCCCAGCAAACGTTTGTTGGATTAAGGTATATTCGCAAGATCTTTGGACTGGAATTTGGTGGACCTAAAATCCCCCCCCCCCCCCCACCGGCCCTGGACTTGTTAAGCTGATCTGGTGGGTCAGGTTGCACTGAGCCTCAGTTTCCACTGAGTTAGAATGCAGTTAGAGCAGTTACCCTGCAGGGTAAAAGACAGGCGCTTGGAAAGCCTGGAGGAGTTGCTGGAATGCAAGGGATTGTACTTTCTGATCAGTAGAATTTCCTTCTTCCGGACACTCAGACGCCAGCGATAATGTTGATTCTCAAGAACTGCTCAGGATCTTTGGGGCCACTGCCACATCGACAGCTCTCTACTGACGTTGTTTTATCTCTGTTCACTCTGCACACAGCCACATCCAGAACAGAGCCTGTGACTCAGGCTCCTACGTTAAGTCTGATTTGACCCATAGGCATTCTCTGCCTCCTTCCTCCCTGCAGCCCACAGAAGCTACTGCTCTTAAGGGATCTGAGCAGGGATCTGAGTCCCCTCCTCCCACTTTTTTTCCAGGCACCAGATTATTTTATCTTCCCGTCTCCTTCTGTCTTTCCCTGGAAAGCAACAGGGAAAGGGATCTAGCCCCTGGTTGGTAGACTTCCCACCCTACTTTCCTCCCAGACCCCCTTTAACCCCATCCTACCCTGACCGACAGCCACCTAGGGTTCCCAGGAGCAAAGACCTTCCATCTGCCTGTGGCTCTTAATATAGTTATCTCAGAGAACTCAGCCATCCTGCTTTCCTGTCCTGCCTAGCTTTCTGCCTTCACTCAGAGTACTATCTTCCTTCCAGGTCCCCCTCTACTAGCCTTCTTCTGATTCCCGTCCCTTCCAGCCCCTTGCCAGATGGCTTCCTACTAAACAGTGCCCCTGGTTTCATGTTGACTTGACTGCCAGCATCAACACTGCCCAGTACTCTTTATGTCTTCTCAAAATTAGACAATGCTGCCCACCACATCTCCCACACAAATAGATTTTGCCCAAGATTCGGGCCGTTTCTGGTCTTTCTCCCTCATTTCCCCAAAGGGGTAGATAGACAGATTTTGCCACAAGTATCCAATCCTGCCACCCCTCTTCTCACACCTCATTTCTACCATGCAATCATTCTGCTCCTGGACCAGGTTAGTCTTCACAGTCATCATGACCACCATTTACTTACTGAGCATCTACTATGTTCCAGGCACTTTACACAAATATCTTCAGGGGCGCCTGGGTGGCTCAGTCATTAAGTGTCTGCGTTCGGCTCAGGTCATGATCCCAGGGTCCTGGGATTGAGCCCTGCATCAGGCTCTCCGCTTAGCCAGGAGCCTGCTTCTCCCTTTCCCTCTTCTCCTCCCCCTGCTCGTGCACACACACACACACACACACACACACTCTCTCTCTCTCTCTCTCTCTCTCTCTTTCTCTCTTTGTCTGAAATAGATAAATGAAATCTTAAAAAAAAAAAAACCCACAAATGTCTTGAACTCTCATGGGCATGCGGCAAAGTTGTTATTATTATTCCCATTGTACAGAGGAGGAATTCTGCTAAGGATCAAAGAAATTCAATGACCTGCCCAAGATTACAGAGCTATTAAATGAGACAGAGAAGGAAACTGAGTCCAGATCTGTCAGGCTCCAAAGCCCAGTTCTGGCTGCCACTCCTTCTGGCCTTGCTAGGGCAGCAGTGCTGGCCCCTGGAGTCCAGCTGCCCTCGATGCTGAAGGTGAGGGGAATAGCATTCTCCAGCTGATGTCCAGATCAAAGCCATCCATGATTGTGCCTTTAAAAGGACAAATCTTGGATTGCTGGGACAAGTCACAGCTCTATCTGTGGTCCCTTCTAAACCTCAGTTGTCCTTCTGTGGAGACTGCACTAGGAAAATACCAAAGCTTTTCTGCCTATAAAAATGGTCTAGTGCAAGTACTCGTTTTATTGGTAGGGAAACTGAACCCCAGAACAGGGAGGCAAATCGCTCAAAGTCATCGGAAAGTTAGAAACAAAGCAGGGACAAGAACCCCGGTCTCCTAATTCCTGGCTATTCACTCTTCTTCTCCACTCCTCCGCACCCCCACTTTCAGGCTGCACCTGGAAACCTGCAAATTAATGATCTTGGACACCAACACATTCCTCCTTTCCTTCCTTCTTCCCACCCTGCCCTCCCATGTTCCTAGGAAACTGGACAGAATCCAGAGCTGGGGCCAAAATGGTTCTCTTTCATTCAGCCAACACTTACTGAGGGTTTACCTGGGGCCGGGCACTACACCGGACCCTAATTCTATTTTAATCCAAATATCACTAGTGTCCACATCTGTCTTCAGTCTAAAGGATGAAACCAGCTGAGTCTAGAGCATCCATATCCTGGGGTACGTGTGTGTGTGTGCCCACACTTGTGTGTGTGTGTGCCCACACTTGTGTGTGTGCCCATCATGCCTGTGTGTGCCAGGGGCTTGGAGGTGGGGTGTCTGTTTCCTCTCTTCCATCATGAAGGGAGTTCCCCATGGGATATGCACAGAGGTTTCTCCCTTTCTTCTGCAGGTGTCCTAGCATGCACAAACTTCCGTGGGGTGAGTGTGTGCCCTGTGTATCTATTAATATCTGCCCATCTTTTCTCTCAGGATGAAGTCCCTGGCAGCTGGTTAATGACCACTCCACTTCTCCCCCAGGTCTCAGCATGGCCCAGTGCAAAGACCTCCAAAGGAATCCTCTTTGGGTCTCCATACAAAGCCCCCCAAGATCTCCCTCTTATCTCCTCCTCCCAGATTCAGAAAGAATCAAGCCTTTCAAACCCTTCTCAATGGTCCCTCTAGAGTGGAGACTAGATCCTCTTGCCCCCTGAGCTAGACAGGGAATAGCCCCTCTTACCGGTCCATGGAGCCTAGAGCTGGCAGCGGCAGTGAGGGGCAGGTAGGGGTGATGTGAGAGCCAAGCTTTATAAGGGAGGCGACAGCCAGAGCCAGAGTGGGGGGCGGGTGAGAGCCCCGGGCAGGGTTGCTGCCAAGTCCTCACGGCCTCTCGGAAGCTTTTAGGATAATCCAGGAAACAGTGGCCCCCCGGCTCTCCTGGGGGAGTGGTAGGGGATGAGATCTGAGTCTCTGAGGTC